ATGCCGCCCTCCCGCCGCCGTGAAATCGCGTAACTCCGGAGAGGATCATACGGGGATTCGCTGCTTCGTGGCGAACGCGAGGCTCAGTCGCGCCACCGGTCACCGGACCCCCCCCCCCCCCCCCCCNCACCTCGAACATCCCAAAACCGCCGAATTCATTGGGATCAAGCGTCGCGACGCTAGCTTCCGGACTGGATCTGCGGTCAAAATGACACATGCTTCCGTGCGCCGAAAACAGGTTGTGCTTTCAATTAATTAGGACCACATTCGTTGTCGCTTCGGTCGCTGTCGTATCCGAGTGGTCAAAACCGCTGGGATGAAATCCACTTGCGGTTTCGTTATGGCCTGGTTACACGATCAAATTCCCGTCAAATTCCGATCAAAATGATGACCAAGATGGCGGTCGAGAGTTATCTAGATTGATGAGTAAAATTAATTAAACAGCGTGTTGATTGAAATAAGCATGAAATAAGCACGGTTGTGTGGAAATCAGATGAAGGATGAGCCCCACAGCTCCATCATCTACCATCAAATTTTTGCAGGCCGCAGAAATTTGATGGTAGATGGTGCGCACCAGTCACCATTTGATCGGAATTTGACGGGAATTTGATCGTGTAACCAGGCCATTCAGTGGTTTACATTTTCGACCCATCCTACATTCCGGGGAGAAATTCCTCGGGCTTGGCTACACATAAGTTTAGTCATAAAAACACTTAAACGTACTTGCGAGTAAAATTTGATGATGTGAACATTTTTTGTGATTCAATTTGGATATTGCGATGCGACGTGCTCATGGATGAAAAAAAGCACGCGAGTTTGTTGGATGATTTGGACATTTCCAATTAACTGAGGTAGTACACGAATTAATCGTGGTCGTACCCCCAATAGATTAGGTTACAAACCCAAATGTTGTGGTACCACCACAATTAATTAGAAATGTCCGTATCATCCAACAAATTGTGGTGGTACCACAATTTTCGGGTATAACCCCTAACACTTTTTTCCCCGTGCTGCGTATGATTTGTGAAGCAACTATTCATGTGTAAGACATTTTTTTGAAGTAAATTAAGAATTGAAGGCACTCTGTGAATTTTGATTCTCGCATTAAATACCGCCGCACAATGAAACAAGCCTTTCGGAGGGGTTGGTCATGAAACTTTCGACAAGAGCTGCAAATTTTGATGTTGATTTCCTTATATTAAACATTGCACGAGTGCTTCTTGCAAGCAATTTCACGAGAAACTAAGTGAACCACTTCTAAAACCTCTACGTTTACATTAATATCGATATGTGCTTTTAATGTTTCCACACTTCGTCCATTTTTTTCCTTGATTCGTTCCACTGAGCGCGCTAGTAAGGCGGTTCAAGTCCGCAGTCAAAACGCCTTCAATCCAGTACGTATGCAACACAGACATCCATTAAGCTCGAATAGTTGCATCTAGGCGTTATAATGGAATTGTGTAGGACCCGTCGCATACGACACTAACTGAAGCTTTCAAGTTTCTCTCTCACTTAATTCCAGCGTTGCCTATTTTACAGTCGAAGAAAACTATTAGTGATTTTAATCGTGACGTTATCAATTTTCCAAGAAAGGCACTATTTAAATTTATTACACTGTTGCCGGCCCTCGAAATGGAAGAAAATTTGCGTCTCTGAGGATGATACAATGAGTTTCTCCTAACCTACTTTAATGAGTCGTCATTTATTTGGATTGATTTTCACCCTCTGAGAAAACTAATTTTGACGTTTAAGGATGAAATTTTCAAAGAGCAATCCTGATGAATCGCATAGAAGTGGGAACGAAAACCTAACCTAACCATCAGTCGTTCGACAAAATGAAATGCACCAGGAATTTTTTAACATCACAAGCCTAAATACACGTACATGATTCCCTGGGTGTAATCGCGGAGCAACACAATAAGGTCTGGTAAATATATTAGTGAACATTTTATTATATTTTGCTCTGAAATATGGGCTGGTTCTAGTTTTTATTTCAAAGAGTGAATCCAGAGTGGCTCCATTGCCATCGCCCGATAACTTACCGCGACTTCCCCGACCGATCGACCAGAATAACACTATTCGCGGCCAACCATGCGTTAAATATCCTACATTCTGATTCTGAGGTCAAGTTAACAGCCGCAGTTGGTTTGCACTACTTAGCACAAAACTCATTTGAACCAAAAGACTTTGCCGTTCTCTCGTCAACAATTTGATATAATGAAATATTTTTACTGTCTGCGGTAAAGCATGGGTGAGATCGAATCGAACACAAATTACTGTCCATTATTAAACTTCGATTTAGTAACCTACCAATGCCAATGGCAATGTCGAAACGAGAACACATATGCACATATATTATTGACCACAGATAATTTTTATCGCTAAAAATCTCATGCTATGACACTTTGCTCAAGAGTATTTTCTGAAAATTTCAGGCAAAAATATTTGCTTTTTTCGGTTTGATCGCTGTTTACTGTGTGACATCATCTTTGTCATATTCAACCTAGATAATGGCCTTGTACGTTATTGGCTAGAAAAAGGTTTCCAAGTGAAGTATTTAGTGTATTAATGAATAAACCTTATTGAATCCAGTGGTTTTCACGATAAGAGTATTCAAAGTTTATTTCATTTTAGTTTATCATCATTTCGTGTTTCTAATTTTCGATTTTACATTTCTATAATGAAAGGAGAAATTCTGTCTTAACGGTATTACTAACTATAAGCCCAGAGTGGCATTAAACGTAAGGAAGAAATGAAAGATTGGAAATTTCAGTGAAATATTTCATGAAATTTAACGAGGCTGTGAAATATTTCATATTTCTCAGGGGCTAGAGTATGTATACAATCCTCACTCAAACACATAAAAATAGAAGAAAGTCACAATGTTTACACTTTGCGAAACATGAAAAGAAACCGACACTTTTCAATATCTTTCATAAATTTCTGAAATTTCATGAAGTATTGCACGTGAAATTTCAATATTTTATTTTTCATGAAATTTTGCCGCCCTGAATAAGCCCCAACGCCGGGGAGGCGCTCAGTACAAGTATTGAACAAGCACTACCTACTCCATAAAGGGAAACTAATGTTCCTGTGAAAAATTGTGAAAACCGTGTGTACACATGGAGATCTTGTGAAATTTGCGATCTTGCCAAATTTCACTACGAAATTACGCTAAAAATTAGACAAGAATGACTCATTTTTAAAGTTACGTAGCTCGATGAGCAATTAATTACTGTCACTCAAAGAGAAACACATTCATTTTGCTCGCCACACTAAGAGAAAGAAGTCTTTTCGTTTATTATTTCCACATGATAAACAAAGGACTGAGCGGCATGCTCTGACCTGAGGAAGTTCCTCACTCATAAATTTTAGGGCACTGAACTCTCATAAACTTAAATCCAAGTTTTAATTAGCTCCCCTCATTCCGAGCGTCGATAGAAAATATCACCCTACAAAAAAACTTGGAATTTCAACCGCCGGATTCTGCTGAAGAATGGAGTTGTTATGTCTGTCCATTTACGTTGTTCCTGCAGCGTTCGCTTAACATTTGATCCGGTAGGTAGTTTTTTCTTCTCTTGTGTTTAGGTCATTCTTCAACCGGTGCATTCTGCAACATTTCGATCTCTAAAATACAGAACCACGTATCTCAATTGGACGTATTTCTATTAAACGGAACTATGTGCATTATGACTTGAGCCCTGTTATGCATATATTCTTATGGGTCTCAGGGCTCATGTCTTACCTAATGCATATAGTTTCGTCTGGTAGAAATACGTCCAATTGCAACGTGTAAAAATTTCCTGTCATTGGGGGAATCAGTAAGCTGATTTTCCCGAAGTTTTCTTCTGATATATTCTTAATTTAATGAAGTTTTTATTACCACCTCCTCCTCGGCCAACAACCGCATTTATCCCAAACCTTCTATACATACATCTAGCTCGGTTTGAAGTAAGGGATCAATGTGGAATTGGACCATACAGGGTGTTTCAGACCACACCCGTAATAGGCTTTTTTCTTGGTTGTTGTAGGTTGCACGAAGTCAGTCCGCAGTTTTGGAGGTGGGGGTCAGGAAAACGATTTTTTACATTATGTTTGACCATCAGGAATCCAAATTTCACAATCCAGAAGTGCCTCGAACATTTTCTTACGTGATATAGAGGGTCCGCAATAGTGTTAATCTTCCAAGTTCAGGGGCCCCCTGTAGCACATCAGAAAATGTTCGGGAGGCTGCGGGACTACCAAATTCGGATTCCTGGTGAACGCAAGGCTAGTAAGACATCTTCATCTTAAGCCTCTACGTTAATTCAGTCATACTGAATTTTGGGGAGTGGGCCCTGTTCCTCGCCTTTGGGGGTCAATATTCTGAAAAGAACAAGGTCCCATTTTGGATCTCTTGGTATCGATTTGGGGTGGAATTTTTCTTACTTTGTGAATTTGACGAAATAATTTAAATATTTTGAAGGGAACCCCAACTTTTAAAGTCACGACCGACCCCCCCCCCCTTTTACCCCTCGAGGGTGGCCGGAACCATGAAAATTTAGAATCCTTCCTGTCGATTCCATTTTCTAATTTCGGTGAGGTAAAATGTCTTTCAGGGGTCTAACTCTTCCCTTGTCTAGTGGTGTGTTTTCTGTGTTGTATTCCTTGGCAAATTCTGCTAATTGAATGCTAATTACTCTAATTAATGACTTCAACGTTTGAGGCATCGGTGACGTAGATATGACGTAGCTATGACGTATAGCCAAAACCAGTCTATTGTGAATTTTTGAGGGTCCATGGTGGACTTTCAGGGTTGGCCGGCGAGGCGAAGGGAAGTAAATCATGGAGAGGGGGGACCGGGGGGGGGGGAGGTGTAAGGACTCGCAATGTTTACATAATATTTAGACCCGGTGCGGTGCGCGGCGCGGAGCCGTGCCGTGCCGTGCGGCGTTCAGGTGCAGGGAGGAGGTGGCGCGGGGTGGGGTGGAGGGTGGAGAGACGGGGGCCACTCTCTCTGCTGCTAAGTTACAAGTTACATATTCAGCGCTGGCCGCAGTCGTGTATTGCAGCATCGCCATGCTGCAGCTGGGTTCTGTGTTGTGTCAATTGTTCGTTCAATTACTCGCATTTGGATACTTCGTTTCTCAAGGTTTGCTCATAACTCTATCTCCGTAATTTTTAATTCATTTAAATCGCAATTTTTCGACGATAAATCGAAAAAGCTTCGGAAGGACACGAATCACGTGAAATTTGACGGCAAAGGTTGCGAAGGAAATAAGGGTGTTTTTGATAGGTACCATACAGGGTGATCCAGGGTTAAACGGCCAGACTGCAGAAGCGCGTTTTATGGGTTAAAATAAGACTTTTTTGTTGCATAAAGTTTTTTCAAAAAGTGCCCCCATTCAAAGCTACAGCCCCCCCCCAAAAAAAAAAATTTCGGAAAGTAAATCGTTTTTCCTAAATTTTGGCAACGATTGTAAACTAAATCTCATGAAAATGTGTACTCCCCCGTACTTTTATAAGTCCTGAATGCATTAGTGATCTAAAAAAAATCGAAATCTCAATTTAAAGAGGGGATTTGGGGGTGTTTCGGCCTCTGCAGTCTGGCCGTTTAACCCTGGATCACCCTGTATTTTGGTGGAAAAGTATAAAGTATGGCTCAAGCGTCCAGCGGTAAGCGGATAAAACGGCTGGGTGAGTGAGACAAGGAGCAGAAATCCTAACCTCAATTATGACTAAAGCCCGTTTATGCCAGTAACACACGTGGGTTAAACGGTGAGTTTAACGTTGAAAATAAACACACATAAACCGCGTGAGGCAATAACAAACCAAATGTTTTTGCTTTTGTCAACGACATGTCTGTCATATATTAATCTCCCGATATTTTCATGAAATTTTTTTTTCGTGTATTTAGTAAATTTTTGCGAGGACTTGGTATAAATAAGCTTGCATTGAAAGTGTGTGGAGCACAATCGATGAATACGGTTGATACATTGCGTTTTACGTTCAAATACTTAAGTTTTGTCAATTTGGTGACAATGTTGGGAGAAAATGACTGGTTCGATGGTGCAATTTCCTGAAACTAGAAAATATCTTTAATTAGGGGAAAAATCGGATGGTAAAAGTGACGCGTTCGAATCCATCCTGCGAGCTGATTATTGGAACTAATAGACAAAGCTATAGATAAATAATACAAAGAGAATATGGAGCAATCCTATTGTTGGGGGCGGTTGGTTTCGATGGATAAAGTATAGTTAAGTAATCGACTGACAAACGGCAACCCACGAGAGATCCTTCAGTTAGTCCATCATTTTGCCCTTAGTCTATAAAAACTACCCGTTTCAATCGATAGGATAGCTCCATTTTCCTTTTGTCTTCTTTGTCTATCGCGTTGTATATCGATTCAAAGAGTCAGCCCTCTGGACTGTTGTTTCTGTCACCACCTTCGTGTAGGAGTGTGCAACTCTTAGTGCAGAAAAAAATCTTACGAGGGGCGTTCAATAAGTAAGTATCCCCCCTCTCTAAAATCCATAAGAATTGACCAATTTTAAAAAACTTGGGCTCAAAATCTTCCTTAGGATATTTTGAGTTCAACAAAACAAACCGCAACAAAATCGGACTATGTGCGGCCGAACGCGAGCCGTTTGAACGCGCCGAGGTGCTCGACGCTCCCGCCGAATCTGCGAGGATTTGAAGTCCGCTACAGGAGAAGAGCTTCTCTGCCAAAGCCTCAGTCGTTCATCACTGACGAAAAATCAAAGAAATTTTTGTAGAATAAGGGGCTTCCCTCACTTCTCCACATAACCAGCTCGATCCAAGCAAGTCTGATGCTGAGACTAAGACTAAGAGAACAGCTTTTGGATGCCTCGTGCGTGGAAGTCTTTCAGCTGACCGCGGATGAAAGAGTGGACGGCTTGTTTGACCTCTTCCACTGATTCAAAATTAACTCCTCCAAGTTCAGATTTCAGGAACGGGAATAAATGGTGGTCTGGTTTGCCATTTATCATCGTATCTGAAATCTGAACTCGGAGGAGTTAATTTTGAATCAGTGGAAGAGGTCAAACAAGCCGTCCACTCTTTCATCCGCGGTCAGCTGAAACACTTCCACGCACGAGGCATCCAAAAGCTGTTCTCTTAGTCTTAGTCTCAGTATCAGACTTGCTTGGATCGAGCTGGTTATGTGGAGAAGTGAGGGAAGCCCCTTATTCTACAAAAATTTCTTTGATTTTTCGTCAGTGATGAACGACTGAGGCTTTGGCAGAGAAGCTCTTCTCCTGCAGCGGACTTCAAATCCTCGCAGATTCGGCGGGAGCGTCGAGCACCTCGGCGCGTTCAAACGGCTCGCGTTCGGCCGCACATAGTCCGATTTTGTTGCGGTTTATTTTGTTGAACTCAAAATATCTTAAGGAAGATTTTGAGCCCAAGTTTTTTAAAATTGGTCCATTCTTATGGATTTTAGAGAGGGGGGATACTTACTTATTGAACGCCCCTCGTAATTTTGGGAAAATGTCGATTTTTTAACGAAATCTCCGGTGATGATGATTCGTAATTTTTACGAGTCAGACACAGGTGCTTTTTTTGGCTGCTTTCTTGAGTGTTAAAATTTCATCTCTATTTACGAAAATACACACACAATCGTTTTAATGACTGCAAATGACTCGGTCTGGGTTGAGGAGGAGCATTGTCTTTCCCCGGAGACGGCCACCAAAAGATAACTTTCGGACTGATCAACATCATAACAATCGGAAGCAGAGCACTGTAATTTTGAAGCATCATCCGCTGCGTTTAATGATTCAAATATGCAGATATAAACCAGCAGAAAAAAAGAGAACAAAATATAGTTGAGACATTCTAATGGAGCTGAAATCTTAATTATGCCACTAAAAGTTCTCCGTGGATGCTTATTTTTATTTACCAAGGGCCAATTGTTGGAAGTTTAAATTAGCATGGTAAGACATCAAAATGATATATATTGTATGGTTAAGATTAGGATATGTCTTGTTTTGTCGTATCGAAATAGATTCAATAAGTGTTTGCTTTATCGTGACGAGTTGGACTCAAAACGAAGGATCATTTAAGAGCCTTCATTGGTATCATAAAGCAATATTCCAGCTCCATGCCAGTTCCATTCTAAAATAATAATAATTCTTCTAGAATAATTATTACTTCTATCTATTGGGGCATTCATATAGTTAAGGCGAATGATCTCATTTTGAAAGCATCAAATACACTCTATAAAGAAAATTATAAAATGTTTTCTTTTTTTCTTCTAGAAGAATAATGCTAAAATATATTAAATTGAAATTTTGAAATGAATTGCGATGGATTCATGAATGACAATTACAAATCATCGGACTTCGTTTATGAGATTAACGTCTGCGATTCTTTGATTTATAGAAAATTCATTACTTCAAGTACACTCACGAAGTTTCGCCAATTTTTATCCCTTCATATCTTCATGTGAGGAATATCAAATGAAATAAAAAATGAACGCGGGCAGTTCTTAAATTCCTTGTGAGTCCTTTTTCAGCTTAATGGTTCATTTTTGTGTCAACTCTCGTAATTTGTCGTATCTCAGACGAAGGAACATAACTCCATTCTGAGGTTGCAAAATTGACTCAATCGATTCAATTTTCTGCAAACCAATGCCAATTTCTGTATGACCATGCCATTTTTGCAAGTAATTAAAAGAAAAATTTGTGCAATATGCAATTAAAAACGCTCAACACTTTTTTCTCTTAAGATAATACAATTCGCCAGTGGAAATTTGATGCGATTGAAATGCATTTATTTTTGTTCATCTGGAGAAGACAAATTTTGGATGGGTTTAATGGGATGATAGCCGGGGTCTCTTAACCGGGCGGGGCAATTTGAGGCCATAAATCTTGCAACTCGGCGAGTTTTTTTTTATGGCGAGTCGCTCGCTGATGAAATTCGCACTTTCCGAATGCATTTAGCAAATTAATCCGAGGCAAATCGTGATGCCGTGCTCTTCACGCTCATTGGAACCTCGCAAAATCCCTCCTCCCATCCCTCTGCCCCTTGCGCTTGAGAGGATGGATTTCAAAAGATTTACACCTCATTGTTCAGAATCGTTGTAAAATTGCCCGGGACTCCAATAACAAAATAACAGCTACACGCGATGAAAAATTTAGTGCCGCCTTCTCCTATTCTTCTTCTTTTCATTCTTCTTCTTCTCCTTCTCCTTCTTCTCCTGCTTCTCCTTCTTTTCTTTTTTCTCCTTCTTCTCCTTCCATCTTCTTTTTTCCTCTCTTCTTTTTTTCCTTCTTTGTCCTCCTCTTCTTCTTCCTCTTCCTCTTCTTTTCCTTCTTCATCTCCTTCTTCCTCTTCTCCTACTTTTTCTTCTTCGTCTTTTCCCTCTCCTTCTTCTTCTTTTCCTTCATCTTCTTTTCCTTCTTCTTCTTCTTCTTTTCCTTCTTCTTCTTCTTCTTCTTCTTCTTCTTCTTTTATCCTTTTCGGTCGTCTTCTTCCTCTTCTCCTACTTTTTCTTCTTCCTCTTTTCCTTCGTCTTCTTCCTCTTCTTCTATTTCTTCTCGCTCTTCTTCTTCTTCTCCCCCTTCTTCTTCTTCTCCCTCTTCTTCTTCTTCTCCCTCTTCTTCTTTTTCTCCCTCTTCTTCTTCTTCTCCCTCTTCTTCTTCTTCTCCCTCTTCTTCGTCTTCTCCCTCTCCTTCATAGTCTTCCCTATCTTATTCTTCTTCTTCTTCTTCATCATCCTCTTCTGCTTCTTCTACTTCTCCTTTTGCATCTTCTTCTTCTTCCTCTTCTTCTTCTTCTTCCTCAAAAAACTCTTGTTTACGATGCCCTCCCGAGCACGTCTTGAGCTGGCTTTTATCTATGCTTAATATAATAAACTTCGTTAGGGGAGAAAGAGAGGCATGTATAATGGTCGAGAGACTTGAACGAACGGATAGGAACGTAGAGACACCGCGGTAATCGCTGAGTTGCCTGTCACTTTTACGTGCTTACTCTTTACATAAGCGCATATGTGCTTCCTGATAACAGCAGAGCATTAAGAACACATCCGCATGGATAAAAGTCATCTGGTCATCTAACTTTAAGCACCAGTGACGTTCGAATGGGAGTATCATAATCAAACTGAGCGGAGAGGATACAAAATGGCGGAACCAG